TAGGTTACGGTAGGTAGGTAGGTAGTAGGTAGTAGGTAGGTAGGTAGGTAGGTAGGTAGGTAGTAGGTAGAGTAGTAGTAGAGTAGAGAGAGAGAGAGAGAGAGAGAGAGAGAGAGAGAGAGAGAGAGAGAGAGAGAGAAGAGAAGAGAGAGAGAGAGGGGAGGGAGATTGATTTAGGAAATGAGAGGAAAAAACATATTTGAGAAAGAAATCTGAAAGTTGTGCCTTAGTTCACATGTTTGTAGTTGCTACCAGTGTTCTAATACGCGGGATACGGGCACATCGCAGCAATGCAGTCAATAAATATAAAAATTCCAAAAAATCTTCAAAAAATAGGTTAATGCATGGGAAAAAAATACGGAGGTGATATATATGATGCTAGGCATTTAATTGATTCATTAACTCTAATATTATCAGCTGGTCAGAGACTTTGAATCCCGTGATAGAAGACATTAGAAAATTGAAAATAGAAACTTGAAACTAACTTTGTAGAAGACATTAAAAGGACATCACATTATCATAATTCATCAACATTCAATTCTAAACTTTAAAGTTCCAAACTCCAAAGCAAAGATACATACAACCACTAAAAGTCTATGAAGAGTTCAAGAGTGAAGACAAAACATTGAAGACAATAAAAATCAAAAGATAATCTAATCAGCTCTCAACTCTCAACTCTCAATCTCAAATCTCAATCAGACAAGTCATCCAGGGAGTCTCCATGTGCATGTGCATCTCTGGCATCCTATTCGACAACCCAACCAACAACGAATATAACCCGACCATTTTTTGCAAAAGAAAGTTCCGTCCAAATTTTTTTCTCTTTTTCTGATCCAAACACAGCCACAATTGGGGCTGTTTTTTGTGTTTGGGGGAGTTTAGAACCCCCCAAATCCCCCCTTTTCGAGGGGAAAATGACCAAACTACCCACGCTCATGGGCACTATTTTTGCCCACGAGCGTGGGTAGGCTCTGCAGGTGCATAGCCCCCATATGCAGTGGGATGGGCCACATATGTGGGCGCATCCCACCAAAGCGCATATGGGCCCCTAGGTGATGCGCCTAGGGGTGCATAGCGCATTATGCAGCCGCATTTTAAAACAATGGTTGGTACAATTCATAGAACACTAGAATATGCCAACAAGAGTATATCTCTAGGTAGTGGATCCGTATTGATGTATCGATGATTGGAAATAAGCCTTAAGGGTATAGTGCACGCTATCGTATTAGAATGGCATCATTTTATAATATATACAATAAGAATATGTTTATTATAGATTCTATGGACACTTCTTGGTCCCACTCTAGGCTCATAAGAGATGGACACAATGTGGTGGTTTGTTGGAAGGAAATTTAGATAGTATGTCTAATATCCTTGCAGTTATGCTAGTATAGTTTCGTTTTCGTTTGTCTTCTATGGTGTGGCTATCTGGTGCATTATCCTGGTAAGTTAGTATTGATATCCTGCTAAATTGCGAGTTGTCTAATCTTGACATGTGGATTATTCTATTAGAAAGACAGCATTTTATAATATATACAATAAGACGATGTTTATGATGGATTCTATGGACACTTCTTGGTCCCACTCCAGGCTCATAAGAGATGGACACAATTTGATGGTTTGTTGGAAGGAAATTGAGATAATATGTCTAATATCCTTGTGGTTATGCTAGTATAGCTTCCTTTTCGTTTGTCTTCTATGGTGTGGCTGTCTGGTTCATTATCCTGGTAATTTAGTATTGTTATCCTGCTAAATTACGAGTTGTCTTCTCTTGACACATGGATTTTCATATTTTAAGTTTCAACTCTTCATTTAACATGGAGATTTGACATCATTTTACAGGTAATGGCTGTTAAAAAGCATATCGAAGAGTTACAAGGAAAAGATAACTATCCATGTGGACAGCAGCTGCTGATTCATAATGGGAAGGTATTGAAAGATGAGACAACCTTGGAAGAGAACAAAGTTAGCGAAGATGGTTTTCTAGTTGTCATGCTTAGTAAGGTATGGTATTTTCTCTTTTGTTTTTGGAAGTAATAGTTTTTATGACGTGCCTTTTTGCACCAATTTTTGGAATAGTCTTTGGCTGCCTCAAACTTAGGTATTCTGTTTGACTTGTTGCCCTAGCTAGCTGCAATCCTTTCTATTACAATTATAATATCAAAGAGAAGAAGAGAGAAATAAGAGGAAGATGTGAGAGAAAAGTTAAGGAGAGAAAGAAAGTTGGAGAGAGAAGCAATGAGATGGAGAGAGTTGGTGAGACTACTGGAGTGAGTCACATTAGGGTTACTTAGCCTCTGTGCCCATCTTTATCTTATTTATAAACTTAAGTTACCTACAAATTACAATCATCATCATCGTCAAAGCCTTTTCTGATCTAATTGGGGTTGGCTAACATACAAATTACAATAATGCCGTTATTTCCATTATTTATTGTTTTCTAAAGTATATAGCAAAGGTACAAAATGCTGTTTTGGCCCTCAAACAAGGCACATAACTTAAAGCTCTAATCTTCAACACTCCCCTCAAGCTGGAGCATAAATATCATCCATGCCACTTTTGAACAAATCATTTGAGTCTAAGTCTAGTTTCGATCAAGACACTTGATGGACATATGAGCCAATTGGTCCTTTGACCTACATGTGGAGTAGATATCTTCTTACTTGCTACTTTGTCCCAATTAAAATGAGAATCCACTTCAGTATGTTTTTTTCTCACATGGAACATTGGGTTGCTAGCTATATGGATGGCTGCTTGATTGTCATAAAACATCTTCATTGGCTTTGTAATTGTGAATCCAATCTCCTGCATCAAGGTTTTCTGCCACAATAACTCTTATGTAATGTGAGCCATCACTCTATATTCAGCCTGTGCGTTAGACCTGGCTACCACGCTCTTTTCTTACTCTTCCATTTAACCAAGTTTTCCCCGACAGAAGTACAATAGCCTGTAGTAGATCTTCTATTCGAGATCCTACCTAATGTTGAAATGGCCACTTCTCCTCTAGATAAGGCCTCATATTGGAGCCCCCTTAAGATATCTCAAGATTCTCCTGACAGCCTCCCAATGTGGTCTCCTGGGAGAATGCATGAACCACTACACTCACTACAAAGGCTATGTCCAGCCTAGTTACCTACAATCCTTCTGTAACTGCCTGGATCTTCAAATACGTCTCCTTGATCCACTGATAATTTAATAGTTGGATCCACAAGCATATCAACTGGCCTGGTGCCCAACATTCCTGTTTATGTTGGTTTGTTACGTATTTCATGTTAGAGAAACTAAAATTGTACTTGGTTCGGGCAAGTTCAATTCCAAAAAAATATCTTAGTTTTCCCAAATCCTTGATCTGAACATATTGTAGTAGGTATATCTTCTATTTATTATTCATTCCCGATCACCCCCTGTGACTATCATTAACATGAGCCGTCAAGACAATTGTACCCATGGATTGATTCCGAATAAATACGTAAGAATCCATGGCTTCTTTGAAACCCATATGCCATAACAATCTTACTGAACTTATCTAACCACTCATGTGGCGACTGCTTCAGGCCGTAAATGGCTTTCTTCAACTTGCATACCTTGTCTAACTCCTTGTGAGTAACAAAAACTGGCTGTTGCTCCATGGACACCTCTTCTTGTAAATCACCCTAAAGAAAGGTATTTTGAACATCAAGTTGCAGCAATGGCCACCCCTTATTTGTTGCTATAGATATGATCACTTAAACCGAATTAAGTTTAGCAACAAGAGCAAACATCATAGAGTAATCAATACCAAAGATTTGAGTATACCCCTTTGCCACCGACCTGGCCTTTAGCTGCTCTACAGATCTATCTGGTTGATATTTAATTTCATACACTCCAATCACATCCAACAGGTCTCTTTCTTATTGGCAAAACAGTAGGTTCCCACTTGCCATTTGATTGAAGCGCTGCTAGTTCCTCGTCCGTTTCTCTCTTCCACCTTCATAAGAAAGAACTTGCGATAGAATTAAGGTTTAGAAATAGAGGAAAGTGATAAAGCAAAATCCTTACAGGAAGAAGACAAATTTGTAAATGTAACAAAATGAACAATGGGAATGTCTTCTACGAAATTGCTGACCTTTGGAAATGGTTATTGGAAGAGTGTTATCAGGCAGAGAAGTAGGACCAGGAACGAGCATTGGATAAGTAGAAGAAGCGGAGACTGATTGACTGACTGAATTGGTGGTAAGGGCATGTCCTTCACTTCTCTTCTCATATTTTGGGGCTTCTCCTATGGCACGTTAACAGGAGGATGGGATGCGGGCTTTATAGGGACAAACACTTGAGGTGTACAAAGAACCATCAGCTGCAGTGGGAACAAGAACCGAGGAAGAGGAAGGAGAATGTACATCATTATGTGAATTCTTTCCTTGAACAGCATAAAACAAATCAATGACAAGCATTTGACCTTCATCGGGAAAATACAAAGTGTTCTTAAAAAACGTGAAATCGGCACAAACAATATTCTTCCACAAAGAAGAATGATAGCATCGATAACCTTTCTGTGTATGAGAACATCCTAAAATATACACTTCATAGCTCGAGGATCTAATTTAGCAGCACCATGACCCAAAACATGAACATACATACTCAACAAATACTCGAGGAGGAATTATAATTATCTGGAAAGAGAATACAGTGTAGTGATTACCGTCTAAAAAAGAGGAGGGCATGCGATTTAGTAACAAGCAGTTAATATGACTTCTCTCCAATAAATTTTTGGCGCATGCATGTTTTAACATCAAGGCACGACTTACTTCTGTTATATGACGATTTTTTCATTCTGCATCCCCATTATGTTGAGAAGTGTGTGCGCAACTTGTTTGGTGTAAAATCCCATGTTGGGCCAAGTATTTTTGAAATTCTTGGGATAAATATTTATGTTGCATTATTAGAACGCAAAAGCATTCTTACCCAACTAAGTAAGTTTGAATCTCTTTATAGAAGAGCTGAAAATTGATAAAGCCTCAGATCTTTCTTTCATTAAATATAATCATGTCATTAGAGAATAATCATCCACAAAAATGAAAAAGCATCTGTGACCAAGAGCTGAAAAATTGATAAAGCCTCAAATCTTTCTTTCATTAAATATAATCATGTCATTAGAGAATAATCATCCACAAAAATCAAAAAGCATCTATGACCAAATAAACCCCGAACTCTGGTAGGACCCTAAATAGTTGAATGGACAATTAAAAAATGAACATACTTCCTTTTATTGTCTCTAGGACAAAAAGATATTGTATGATGCTTGCTTAATTTGGAAACTTCACACTCTATTCTTGATATAGACTTTAATAATGGAGCTAACGGCTTTAAATTATCAATAGATGGATGACCCAACCGACAATGCTATTGAAGAGGAGAAACATTTGTATAAAAAGCAACACCAATAAGACTACGATCCAGATAGTAAAGATATGAAACTCACAACCGCCACCAATTGTCCTCATCATTTTTGGATCCTGAAAACACAATAAGAATAATAGAATGTTATGAATATTGATTTGATTGGGTTAATTTACTAACTGACAATAAGCTAAAAGGGAACTTCGGTACATAAAGAACAAAAGACAATGAAAGAGGAGTAAGCAGAATAGTGCTTTTCCCAGACACTTGATAAAGAATGTAACAGATGCAATTGGAAACTTAGAATGTAGAACACTTACTAGCATAGTTTTAAAAAGCGAACCACCCAGCGCCTAGGCTGCCAAACTAGGCGGATATCTGTGGGCGCCTGCCAGAACGCGCCTAGGCGCCTGCCCGGGTGGCCGCCCAGGGCCTGCACCCCGCTCAGGGGCGGAAATGCGGCTCCTTGATGTTATTTTTGGGTCATTATTTTAATACAAGAGGGACAAAATTGTGGGTTTTAGGTTCATTTGAAATCTAAAACCCATTAGAGGCTATTTTAAAGAGAGAGGGCGCCCGCGCCCGCTTAGGCGCTAGGCTGCCTGGAGCCCCCCAAACCGCCTAGGTGCCACCTAGCGCTTTTTGAAACACTGCTCACTAGTTGTCACTATTTGTGTGATCAGTGGGTCCTAAATCAATGAATCAAGGAGATAGTCTCTGAGATACGGGGAATTTAGAATTACTTGTATTTTCAAGAGTAGCAATTGATGTAGAGGGATAAGTGGTAGGTTGTTGACTATTTTTAATAAGTTTATCGCGTTCCTCTCATGAGAGCAAAGCTGAATTCCTGGTAGAATCGAGAGCCTGGTGACAATCATTGGAGCCAACTGGATGGATATCATCACCCTAAGATACACAAGTTACCTGATTAGCCCAAGCAGGCTTAGAAAACTTAGCCCAACATTTATTAGCCATGTGATTAGTCTGTCTATAGTGAGTGTATTTTTCGTTTTCCACAGCCTCTACCACGACCTCCTCTTAAGTCACAATTACGTCCTTCATTACCACCACCACGACCTCTGCCTCCATCACTATCCTCGTGGATGAGGTCAAGGCTGACCTATTAGTGACACTAAAGGCATATGAAGGTATAGAACTATGGATATGGCAACCCATTGAAGACGGGACTGTACGTTATTAAGAGATGGGAGTTCATTGCTGGTTAAGATCTGTCCACGAATGGCTTAGTGTTCATTATTAAGGCCAGATAAGAATTTTGCAACTCGTAATTCTCCTCATTGCTTCTTCAGTAACTCCTTAGTTCATATCATTTGATAAGGGTTAATACATATTCAACCTTTCCCACATACCCTCAAGAGAATTATAGTATTCAACTAAGACTTTTGTCATCTTGCTTTAGAAATAATATATTCTCATAAAATTGATAATTTTGGGAGATGTTCTTATCAAAAGAGTACATATCACGCAAAACCTCCCCAACTTCTTTAGCAGTACCAAGAAACATCACATTTGCCGTCGCATAGGGTTCCATACTATTCCATAACCAGGTTATAAGTTGATAATTCACCCTAGCCATTCGTCATACCTACTATCTGAATCTTTGGGCCCATTTTCAGACAAGAGCTTCATCTTACCCTTGGCACCAAGAAACACCTTTATAGATTGAACCCATAGGTGATAACTGGACCCATTTAATTTCATGGAGGTAACCGGCATTGCAATAATGTCATTGTTGTTAGAAATTCCAGGCTTACTTCAGTTGCCCTGAAGGTCAATTGCACACAAATAGTGTGTCAAAAAGCGCTAGGCGGGTCCTAGGCGGCCTGGGGGGTCCAGGCCGCCCAGCGCCCAAAACTTGGACGGCCCAGTCAAATCCAAAAAGGATACCCATTTGAATAAGAAAAGGATATATACTATAAAAAATAAAAATTAGGTATTTAAGGCACTTATATTGAGTTTGATTGCTCATTCTTCAAACTTCCCCCTCAAAGATTCTTCTAAGGACTCAAAATCTTTTAAAAAATCCCCCAATAGATTATAAAACATCAAAAATTAAATCTAATATCAATGGGTGATGTTTTGATCAATTTTTGTCAACTTTGAGAAACCTTTCGATCCTAAAGAAATCACCAAAAATTAGTTTTTTTAAGGTTTTCTCTCTCTAAAATGGGCTCCAATAAGTTTTAGGTTTCAAATGAACTTAAAACTATCATTCTAACCCTTTATATTTTAAAAAAAAATCAGTACAAAAAAATTCCGCCTCTGGGCGGGGTGCCCACCTAGACGGGTTCCGTACCGCCTAGACGGGGCGCAAGCCCTGGGCGACCGCCCTGGGTTGGGCGCTGAGCGCCCGCCTAGGCAGGTTCCGTACCGCCTCGGTGGCCGCCCAGGGACTGCTGCCCAGATTGACCGCCTAGGCCTGGGCGATGCAGCCAGGCCTTCTAGACCGCCTAGGCGACCGTCTAGGCGCTGGGTGGTTCGCTTTTTGAATCACTGCACACAAACGAGGAGAATTATCAATATAGTAGGAGACTATATGCACTTGGAGGCCTTGAATCAATCTATTGAATCATATAAACCCCAAAAGACAGCACAAACAGCAGGTTACAGGGAGAAGCACTTGGCTTTTCAATGCGGATGAACATAGATCTCCCCACTATAACACTTGCACGAACTTCCACAGGCTATCTACTGGATCAGTCACATACTTTGATATATTTCAGTCACTATTCCTCTTGATTCTTCATATCAAGAAACATGAGCAGCACAAGTCTTAACAGTAAGTGCAGATAATCATATTGGTTCTTCACACAAGGAAGAAAACTAAGGTGCCCTTTGATGAAATCGGCACATGCAGCATTTTTTTTCTTTTCTTTTTATTTTAAGGAGGAAAAAAACAGGGAAAGAAAAGCAAACAATTCAGATCTATGGATCTTCTTTCTTTGATACCATGTTCGAAGTATATCAAAGAGAGGGAAGGGAGAAATGAGAGAAAGGAAGTTGCGTTAGTGTTACTTAGCCCCCACACCCTATCTTATTTCTAAACTTATGTACAAATTACTGTAATTCCTTGTTTCCTTTATTTATCATATTAATGTCCTTCAGTATATAAAAAAGGACAAGAATGCCTTAATTGCCCCCAACCAAGGCACATAACTAAAATAACTATTCTTCAACAATTTCTATTGAATCGTAATGTAATTGGTGATTGTTGGTATCACTTTGCAGCTAATATTAGTATTAGAGTGCCAATTCTATGGTAATCAAGTTGTCTAATCTTTCATCTGAAAATTGTCAAAACTTGCTGAAAATTGGCAAAACTTGCAGTGAGTCATTCAGTCTTGTGGATGGTCGCATTTTAATCTTCTCTCCTCTTTCTCAGTATTTATATTAGCAGTTTTTACTATAATTAGGATGAGCGGCATTGGCATTCCTACATGGTTCAGAATAATTTAGTGCACGGATAAATTATGTGGCATTGATTAGAGCATCTGACCATGTTTTATATATTTCTTGCATAATAAAATCTTACTTCTCGTGATGTAGAGGCTGTTCAAAATTCTGTTTGGATATTTTAAAGACAGTCAACATGTGAGGTTCAGATAATAACAATTGTTTACTTGTTATTTTTACTATAGTGTGCTATCACGATTTGGTCGTTGTTTGGCCTAGGGCTTTTTATATATGCCATCCTTGCAGAGATACCTGGCATCTTTAACTTTATTCATGATATACTGCAGAGCAAGACCTCTGGGTCAGGAGGAGCCACATCTGCCCAGGTAGTTGTTTACTTTATCATTTTCATATATTTCATGACGAATAATGCTTGTGTTTCTCTGTGCTGAGTTGTTCTTGATACTGATGCAGCCATCAGCAGCAGCCACAAATCCTCAGAATCCAACTCCTGCGCCTGAGTCACGTCCACAACCAATGTGAGTCTCTAATATCTGTTGCCTAAGTTTTTTTTCTCTTTCCTTGCTTATATGTTGTTTTCACTCAAGGATGTATGCGAACTTCCCATGTATCAGGGCCTCACAGAACCCAGCAAGAGGGTCAGATGCAGGTCCAGAGTAAGTACTTGTCCTTCCACAGACTTGTTGAAGCTTTCTATTCCTTTTCCACATATATTTGAGGAATATTTTTTTTGGACATGAAAGCATCATATTGATAATATTGGAATGTGGGTTTCTGTTTTCCGTTCGATAATCCCTCTCCTTCAAGTCCCCATTCTTAAGTGATATCAAGTCTTCCCCTTCTCAATTAGCAATAAACATGTGCAGCATATAGTCTATTCCTAACACTAACTGATAACTTCAGGATTACCCATCTCATTGTGGTTTCATTTTCTCTAAGGTTTTGAATGCTAAGTTATCTAAAATTTATGCATCAAACTTGGAATGATTTGAAACCATCTAAGGAAACTGTGGGGCCATTGCAATACTTGCCGTTTTCTTAATACAATGGATACTGAATCTAGATTTATGTAATTTCAGGGTCACCAATGTATATGGTCAAGCTGCATCAACTCTAGTTGCTGGCAATAATCTCGAACAAATGATTCAACAAATACTCGATATGGGTGGGGATAGCTGGGACAGAGACACAGTCACGCGTGCATTACGTGCTGCTTACAACAACCCGGAACGAGCTGTGGAATATTTATACTCTGTAATATTTTGTTGTTTGAACTATGGCACTTGTGAAATGAGGGACGTATGCTTGCACGCTTTTGGAACTGTTTTCTACCTGTGTACATGCAGGGTATTCCAGCAGCTGCAGAGGTTGCTGTTCCTGTGGTCCCTACATCAGCTCAGGCAGCTGATGCTACAACCGAAGCAGATGTTGCCGGGGTGGCACCAAATTCAGCAGGACCCAATGCTTCCCCTTTAAACATGTTTCCACAAGTAAGATACTTGTCTGTTTTTATGTTAAGTGTTAGGTAAGATCTATTTTAATCCAAGGGAAAGTGGCAAAACCACAGGCTCAGTTTGAATGTGCCAGTTAGTTATGAGTAAGTGCCATTCTTGAATGGACTGGTTCATGCATGGTAAAAAGCATGTTTTTCAGTTCTCCATGAGTAATTCCTGTTTTTCTATCCTGCTTATATAACAGTCTTATAACCTACTTAAAAGAATACCTGTTTACCACATTCATGAGTACAGTTTCCATCCATCCATACTAGCCAATATTATGCTGCATTATTGCTATCCATCAAAACGATTGAGAGAGAGTGCGATCCAACATGGCCCCTCGATCACCATCCACCATCTCAAATGATGACCAATGATACCATGGAGTATGGTCTGTCATTGTCATCAGCCCTTGGATTATAGTATATTTTCATCTCATTGGCTATGCCTGATCCATGCTGTTGGTTTGTGTCTCAGTTTATTTTGCATTGTTCTACAGGGTTCCCCTACCTCTGGTGCCATTGCTGGAGGAGGTTCCCTGGATTTCCTTCGTAACAATGAACAGGTGTTATGGCTATTCCAACAGTAATCCTTAAAAATTTATATGATGATTTGTTATACTCTGCACTTGTGATATCTTTTGTCTGAAGATGTTAAGTTACAGTTCTCTCAAAAAATCTCTCCCTTTTACATGGGCTTGATAGATTGCCCGCTATCATTTTCTTTAACTGGTTTTGTCGCTAACATGTAGCATGATGGGAATCAATACATGACCTGCTTATTGATAAACTAATTCTTGTGGCATGCAAAGTAATCCTTTTAGAAAATTGTCTGTATTATTGGGATATGTAACATATGGGCCCCGATGCTGGTAGCATATACCTGTATAAAATAATGTCCTTGCCTTGGCAGTAATGATCACTGTGTGATAATGATCTCCTGATTATTTTGTTTCAGACCTAAAAATTATTTATAGTATGGATTTCGAATTGTGAATCCAATATCATATTCAGTTCCGTTGTTCAGTGAATGAACTTACTATTATTAAAGTTATGGCAAAAAGTAAGTCGTGTTATTTATCTATCCAAGGCAATCTGGATCTAGACATCCCAGCAGACAGAACATGAGGGTATTGTAGAAGAATTTTGATCCTGTTAAGACTCGCTAGCTATAAGCTAAGTTTCTAGTTGAGGCTGCTGCTCCTGCTCACAGTCAAAATTTTCTTGGACTCATGCACCAATTTAAAAAATAATAATTCTTAGACCATGCCCAGTCAGCACTGTTTTGATTTCTAAGTTCTATGTGGAGCATGTTGCTTCATGACAAATGGTTTGCCATTCCATTTCAAAATCTAACCTGTCCGGTTCAAAGTTATAAAGATTTTAGAAAAGGCAGCCCAAACTGGTTCTAAAATCTTTATGAGTTCAAATGGGCTTATGATATGAATTATTGAAAAAGGGCTGATGATATATGGCATGGATGAGTTACGTAACCCATAGATAGTCAATGATCATTAAGTCCCCACTAGAACCACCTGTAATCTTAAACAGGACAGGGTATAGTTTGATCATTAAAGGATGTGCATGTCTGTGAAAAATTATTACAAGCGGTTGTTCATTTTTCTATCATTGAATTGAGTTCTTGATGTTTAGAAAGCCATGAGAAGCTCAATCATGTCCATGATAGGCATTGCCTTCATATTCTTCATTTTATAGATGTAAATTTCTTTTTTTTCTCTGAACATTAACTGCTGCATATAGTAATAATTGCATATCATATGCCAAGATAAGAACTATCATGATGCAAGGAGAATTTCCCAAGTTTTCTTTGTGGGATCTTTGCTTGTTCGTAGATGGTTATTTTGGTGGGGTAATTATGTTCTTTTATTATAGATGGGGATTTACTCTCGATGTTAGACATCTGGATTCGCATTTTAAGGCAAATTTGGAATTTTATAAACTTATTTCATGTGGGTACTCTTATCATAATCTTTTAGTGACATTTATGTCGGTCTTAAAACTTTCTAATTTGATTTTAAGGCTATCTTGTACCAGAAAAGAAAACCTTTTTTAATAGCATTTTTTATCACTTAATTTTCCGGCCTCTCAATCTTTATCATTTCTCAGCTCCACGCCAATCCATTTGAATGCTTATGAGGAACTCACTTTTTCCTTAGGGTACTCGATTTACCTGGATGACTGGAAAAAACTTTTGGTTCATTTTCCATATTGCATTGTCCAGTTCTGCATTTAGTTAACTATGTTTTACACTATGAATATTTAGTCTTGAATACTGATTGGTTTGATTTGATTATTGCATATCACTATTCTTGCAAGAATGTTTAGTCATGTTGCATGATGAGAGTTCCTCATATCCAATTTATTTCCTTTTTCTCTTCTTTCAGTTCCAAACCCTACGACATATGGTCCAGGCGAACCCACAAATTCTGCAGGTTTTTGTTCGTTTCTTTTGAGTATATAGTTCTTGCTTATTCACATCCAGATATCTCTGAGACACCAGTTTATTTACAGCCAATGCTTCAGGAGCTAAGCAAGCAAAATCCTCAGCTATTAAGACTTATTCAGGAGCACCAAGCTGAATTTCTTCAATTGATTAATGAACCTGCTGAAGGTGCAGAAGGGTGAGCTTCTATTTTATAGATTATTCTCACCAGGATAAAACGCTGTTAGAATTTCATGAATGTTGATCTCTAGCAGTGTTCTGAAACACGACTCGACCAAGGTACTCGGACCTTAGCCAAGGCGAGTTGCTTGGGGGAGTCGAGTAACTCACCTGAGTCGAAAAAATAAAGATGGTGATAAAAAAATATACTATTTTTAATATAGCCTTCACATCATGTATTGCTACATTGGGGCCTTCCTTTATGCGAGGTCTTAAGTTCAGTCCTTGTCATTGTTTTTTTCTTTTCTTTTTTTTTGGTTATTCCCATCCTTCCGAAAAAAAGAAAAAGAAAAAGACTGTCTTGTGGGTTTTCAAAATTGAAGTTCGGTGGTGGGATTCGAACTTCTATGATAATGGGACATGTGCGTGGGCACTGCCCAAGAAGCCATTCAAGCGTATGTGACCTAAGCTTCACATATTAATATAATAAACTTTACAAACATGGTGTACAGCCTACTCGCCTCACCCTTGGGGCTCGGCCGAGTCCCGAGTATCAGAACACTGGTCTCTAGTCCAGCCCTAGAAAACCAGGGAGAGATGAAATAGAAGAACCTGATCGTGATCACAAGAGTAAATTTATACTGTCAACTTTTGTCATGCTGGGAAAGGCTACCCATGTAATGCATTATGCAGATTAGGCATTCTAAAGCGCTCAAATATGAAGAGACCAGGTTGATCATAAATTGCAAAAAGGATTCATGTGTTAAACTAGGCTTCTTTTCACTCTCTTTCCCCCCACCCTTTTCGCCCCAGAAGTTATTGCACCCATGAAAAATGTATTATATGGAAGTTTTCTGGTCAAATCTGCTTACTCGCGTGCCTAATGCTTTCCTGTTTGGGTTTTAACCTTCTCTTGGCAGAGATTTGTTTGGACAGGCTGAGCAAGACATGCCCCAATCCATCACAGTTACACCAGAGGAAAGAGAAGCCATTGAACGAGTATGTGAGCTCTCCATATAATCAACATATTATCTTCTTTTTATCAGTAAAAAGCTGATCTCTGTCTCACACTTTCTCCACCCCCCTTATTCAGTGCATTTTTTTTAATTTAAAGAAAATTTTCCTTTGTGCATAGCTCGAAGCAATGGGATTCGACAGGGCCCTTGTCATAGAAGCTTTCTTGGCATGTGATAGGAATGAAGAGCTTGCGATTAACTATCTCTTGGAGAATCCTGGGGATTATGAAGATTGACAGATGAAAAAGGAAGAAATCGGAGTCTTGTACTGTATCCTACTTATGCCATTTTCCCATAGAGAGAAAAGCCTCTGCATTCTTGCAATGATTTGTGGGTTAAAGAGTTGATTCTTGTGGCATAAATCTGTAGAGCTCCTCACCCTTCGTTGCTTTTAGCACAGGTCCTGTCCCCTTCACTCTTGCTTAGTTTTTCTTTAAGGCCAGCTTTTGTTTTGTTTTAAGCGTGGCATTTTTTGATTTTTTGAGTTTGGGACTTTTGAAGAGCAAAATCCTCGTCTATTGTACTTGGAAACTATGCAGATTCAGAGAGGGGATCTCAGACGTGGGTATATACTCAATAGATTTCTACTAATTATTTGTCTCCAGTGTTGATTTGTACCGTCATGTGAATTGAAAATCGAGGGTTTGGATCGTGCAATTTGGACTGGTGATGACCCCAGGTTCGGCTGCTTGCGTCCAGGCCAAACCACTATTTGAGCCATATGGTAATGCCCTGTGAATGTGCTTGGGCCGGGCTTGAGCTACCATGGGTCTGCCCCGGAGATTTTTAAAGTATATGAATCTTCATATGCACAACCTTATTTTTTCATGCGGCCCTTGTTAAAATGAATTCGGATTTAAAAACTTGTCTCGTCATAAATGTCTTTGATATATAGAAATCCATGTCTAGATAAATCGGTGGGTGGGACCTGTCCATGTCTAGATAAATTGGTGGGTGCAATACAAACTATGTACTATGTATTAGAGCATATAGGTGGGCGCAATACAAACTATGTGTTGTGTGTTAGTACGAAACAAATTTAGCTTGTGACTATTTATGATTCCATTAGGAAATTTGAAATTGAATTGAAATTTCATAGAAAAGCAAGATTGAGAGCTTTAAATGTTTCTGGCCAGGACTTTGGCTAGATTTGGCCCGGCCTGAACGTAGCCTGTTAACAGCCCTTGCAATATACTAATCTTGGTCACAAAATCCCTCTAACAAGAAGGAAAGAGTTTATATAAGGTTGCAACCTTAAAATGTAGAACTACGGATGCACCTCAAAAATCCATCGGAAAAGGTTGTTTTAGTGTTGAAAAACCTTGTGATTGATCATCTCGACATCAAAGATGTATGACTATGAAAAATAAGAAGGTCGAGCTTCAAAAATAGTACATCTTATAACATATTATCTACTATTTTCAATATTTTTATGTGTTTATAGATCTATTTGATTTTAATCATTTTTGGAATTTAAAATTTTATAATTAGACAGAAAAATAGATTTTGAAATAATCTTAAGAACATTTTACATCAATTATGATAAAATTGTTATATATTATGATAAAATTTGAAGGTGCACTTTAGTTGAATTGTTTAAGGTTGCAATCTTATGGAAACCACACCCTTAAGAATTGGGATATGTTTTGGTGATGGGTGCATAATTTGGCACGAGTGATATGTTCCTTTCCCCTCTGAATTACTTATGACCACTTCGGCCAAGGTAAATTACATACTCGATTTTGTGAAGAAAATATTGAAGCCTACGACCATATGGGTATCCAAACTTTTGAGATAACCCAATTGAGTTGATGCCAACATCACAGGAGAAGGCATAGAGCAGCAGAGTGAGTTAAAAGCTGGATAATTAGCACAATGATCAATAAGGTAGAGAGAAAATTAAGCAAATTCAAATGAGAAAATACCATATTAATAAACAATACAATAATGACTACGATTGACCCATATTCAATCTAAGCTTTTGAGCTTACACTCTTTTATCAGCTTATGCGCTGACAAGATATTTTCACATTAATAATATAATGGAGAGAGAGAGAGAGGGACAATAATCGCAACTTCATCCATTTATCTCTCTGCATAATCTTCTTATTTCCCCCTGGTTCCCCGTCTTCACGCCTATGCTGGTGAGCCTCAAAAACGACCTCTCCCAACCTTCAAAGAAGCTCTCCTCACTCTCAGCAAATCTCAACACCTTATTCCTTGTCCGCGTGTCCCCGAAAAGAACTGAATCAGAATGAAACAACCCCTTCCCCATCACCAAATTCTGATAATAGACATTGTCAAAAACCAAACCGGTTTCTGGGTCATTGTCCACTGTAATTGAAGGGTCTGCATTACGTGGGCATTGGCTTAACAAGTCATTTCCGTACTTCTTATCTAACAAAGGATCAGTGGGTGTCAGTTTGCCCTTTGAATCTTGAGCGAAACGGTCACTGAATGCGCTGCAATGTGACCTACCGATCGTATGAGCACCTACAAAAAAATGGAAAAACACACTTAAAAAGTCTATGCTAATGAAAATATCCAAATCCCAAAGGTGCTTTTGCTTTTGCAGTTAAAGATAATGTATTTGTATTTGTTTGTCTTCAGAGATCATAGAGTTAGTTATATAGCCAGTTTTTTTTTTTTCTTTTTTTTTTTTATAATTTCAAAATGATGAATTTGTGTGCAATCAGAAATCCTTTTAACTTGGTTTTCCCAATGTGCTTTTTTCTTTTTTCAAGATCATTAGAAGGGTTTTAGATTTCAAAATTTATGCAAATATCATGTTTATCAATGAAGGTAGGTAAAGG